CTTCACGTATCATGGATCCTAATATTGTGGGACAGGAGCATTACGATGTGGCCCGTGGGGTGCAAAAGATCTTGCAGGTGAATGGCGTGAAAATCATGGAATCCTAACTTACGAATTAGTGAATGCTTTTTGCATTCTTTTTAATTGGGTATGTAGAATATTAACACATTTTTATAGCAAGTGAGACTGGTGATACTGCAAACCAGCAACAGCCGCTTGGAAGAGGCAGAATGTAGAGAGGGTGGCCTATGGCTTGATCTACTCCATGATGCCCTTGCTGTCTCAACTCACCTGTAGGCTTCCTCTCTAGGACTACAAATCCCTCCAAGACATTATCGCTATTTTGGGTATGGATGAATTGTCTGAAGAGGATAAGCTGACAGTGGCACGTGCCCGTAAGATCCAGAGATTTTTGTCCCAGCCCTTCCAGGTGGCTGAGGTTTTTACTGGCCATGCAGGCAAGCTGGTGCCTCTGAAAGAAACAATCAAAGGATTCCAACAGATTCTGATAGGTATGTATGACAACTGGAATTGAAAACCCCCTGAAGCTGCTGGCCGTCTTTTGTTGCCATCTTTTCTCATTGATAATTTTCCCTATTCTACTCATAAGGCATCTACCACACTACAATCTAATTGCTTTTCAGATGTAATATAGGCATTTTTTCCAAGTAATTGTCTAGTGATTGCCGTCAACATTTTTCCATTCAAATCTAGGAAAATAATAGCCACCTGTAATGAGATTACGAATAATTACAGGTAGTCCTCAGTTGACAACCCCTCATTCAGCGATAGTTTGAAGTTATGGCAGTGCTGAACAAGTACTTACAACTGGTCATTGAAGGTCCCAGCATTGCCTAAGGCAGTGGTTCTCAACCTGTGGGTCGGGACCCCATTTGGGGTCGATCGACCATTTCATGGGGGTCGCCAAGCAAGGCTGTCCGCCATTTTTTTTGTCCGCCATTTTTTTGTCCGCCATTTTTTTCCCCTTTTCCGGCGGGTGCCTTACCTCCCTTGGGCTGGGCCAGCTGGTGGTCAGCCTGCTCCGTCTCTGCCGCTTGCCAGCTACGCCTCGGCCGGCGCAGGGGGCGGAACCACGTATGCGTGGCGCTCCCAGGCAGGGAAAGTCCTTGACTTACGACCGGTTGGGTAGTCCTTGACTTACGACCGGTTTAGTCCTCGACTTACGACCGGTTGGGGTCGTGGCATTAAAAGGGTTGAGAACCACTGGCCTAAGGTCATTGCGATCGTAATCCGGGCACCTGGCAAGCCAAGTTTGTGCTTAATGATGGCTGCAGCATCTTGCAGTCACATGATCACTATTTGCGACCTTCTCAGCCAGCTTCCCACAAAGAAAGTCCATTTAGGGGAAGGTGGCAAAAAAAGGTCACAAGTTGCTTCTGATGCTTTTTCTCCTGAGGAGCCTGGCTAAGGGGTACAAGGCCCCAAGAATCTTGTACTCTGTTCTGTGCACACATGCCCACAGCACCCTTCCTGAAGTGTGAGACACTACAGCGGCTACTGCAAACGCTCCCACACCAGCAGCAGCCATCCCCAACCTCGCCGTGCTCTGCCTCAGTTACTATTTGTTATTTAGATGACGGTAGAATGAGCAGAAAAGGCATGTAGTCGTGGTCTGTTTCTTCTTAACGATTTTGCTGATTTTTCAATGTTTTGACTTTTTGTCTCTGCAGGAGAATATGACCACCTCCCAGAACAGGCTTTCTATATGGTGGGGCCCATTGAGGAAGCTGTGGCCAAGGCTGAAAAGTTAGCAGAAGAACACTCATGAGTTTATTGCCTTTGAGGCAAATCCTGTATGCTTTCAAATGTCCAGTGGTTCACTTTGTCCCACCTCACAGTTCTTGAAACTCTTGGAAATTTCTTGAAAATATTTAAGTTTCCAATAAACCGTCTGGTGCAATTATAGAAGTAGTTAATGGTACTGTTGCATCAGGAACAGGAAGAGAAGCTATAGCTTGAAGCAGACCAAATTTGCTGATTCTGGATTCGCTGACCACGAGTAAGGCATTCTTGCTGACTGTATTGGAAAGCAAGATTGTGCTGTTTAATTCCAATGTGGTGATTGCCCAGAATATTCCACAGAGAGAATTGATGGGAACTGGATTGATGCAGAAAATCCTTCTACCCTGTAAAGATCATTAAGTGCTGGCACTTAATGATTCCTTCCTCTTCTCCAAAGCATTTGCCAAATAAGACAGATTAGCATAGTTAATATGCTGGCCTACAGCCAGCCACTCATGCAGGCGGAGATTCCTTGGATAGCAGTCCAGAGATGCCTCTGAATATTCTAGATAGCGTGCATTTAAATCTTGTTCTCCCAGAACAGGCATGTTTGCTATGAATTCCAAAACTCTGTTCAGTTTTTTGTAAGCAACTTCACCCAGGTTTGGTCAAGTAAGTGCCATGTTCTCTAATGCAAATGAATGGATACAATTTGGAAAGTTGGAATGGAAATTTTTGGGCTGCATAAATCTTTTAAAAGACCATTTATTGAAAGAATGCTCAGATGTTGCTAAACCTTAATCCTAGAATAGAATCTTAAAGATACATTGACATTCAAACCCTCTGTGTTTCCACAACTTCGTACCAAGTCATAACACTACCTGTCTAGTTTTGGCTTAATGCACGGGTGTCAAACTCGATCGTGTCACATGATGTATCGTGATGGTTTTTGCCGTTGTGGAGCCAGGGTGGGCGTGGATGTGCGTCTGGCCCCCCGGGCTGCCAGTTTGACACCTCTGGCTTAACGTATTATGTGACTCCAGTTCAGTAATATATAAGTTTATGTACCTTACTACATAAACCTAAAAAGAAAGCTGCCACTGTTAATCTGATGCAACAAAGTATGTTTAAAAGAGATATTATCCACTTTGGCTTTTTCAGTCTTGAGCTAGCTTTGGTTTTTTTAAGTACTTAAGCAACTTCCTCCTGAATCTCATTAACTGACTTCCACACTACACATAGAGATGTGTTTCTCTTTCCCTTACCTACCACAGCCATTAAGGTTGCCTTTGGGAAGGGAGAGGGGACAGCAATTCTCTTTTCCTTTGCCTGCTGTAAGGAAACTGGGCAACATTAACCTTGTGACATGGTTGCCACCTATAAACAATTTGTCATCAGAAACTCATTTTAAAGGTGTTATGCCAGGATGCTCAGAGAAAGAATAGAAATCAATAACTTGCTGTAAAATTGAAAGTAATTGGGATTAATCGGCTAAGACTCAAGGGATCGGTAATTGCTCTAGTATCAATTTCTCAAGCTTATTGCTCTGCCTGTGTCTGGGGGTGTTTGGTTACAGAATCTCATGATGCCTTTTCAAAAACACAAAACAAGTCAATGTGGCGGCAGAGGTTGGTTGTGATGAAGAGATCTAAAGCAAGTAGGGTTTTCATTAGGAAACGACTTATCAGAGGGTCCTTTATGGCTGAGAAGGTTTATCACACGTAGGTTGTGTCCTGCGAAACAGATTTGATAGTTATGTGCTATTCACATTTCTACTCTGCTGCAATTAGAATTGACAAACAGAAGATCCATGGCAAAAGTTACTGCTTTCAGTATATACAGTGGTACCTTGGTACTCAACTATTTTGTAACTCCTCAGATTTGGTACTCAATGCATTTTGATGCAAAAAATAGTCCTGGTGCTCATTGGTATTCAGTGCACAAGCTAGAACTTCTTGGTATTGGCTGCGTTGTGATTCACTACATTATTCCTTATGGGAAAAATGTACTCATCAGTTTTGGTACTCATTGTGCCTCCTGGTAACAAATAGGAATACCAAAGTATCATTGTATGACATCAAAGTTCTATTTTTTTTTTCAAATTCTTTGTCCATTAAGCCTAACAGACAAGTTTGATTTTATTTTTATATTCATTTTGAGAATCTTTATTAAAATACCAATCCTACTCCAATAATTTTTTTGCTTTGTCACAAGTTCACCAGAGATGGTAAAAGGTCCCTTTTCATTTACATTTCCAGCATGCATTTAAAATACCTTTATAAATTTTTTTTACTATATCTAGTGTCTATGGAGATTCTCAGCCATCCAGGTCATAGTTATCCCAAAGATAATTTTTTCCACGAGGCAACTGGACTTTCTTGTTTTTCTTTGAAGACATTTCACTTCTCATCCAAGAAGCTTCTTCAGCTCTGACTGGATGGTGGGGAATGGAAGGATTTATGTTCCTTGCAGACAGCTCAACAGAGGGGGAGGGATCTGATATCTATTCTCCGGTCTACAACAGTCCTTTCAACAGTTCCATTTGCACCACTCAGGTAACCCTGAGGACATAGATAAGCTTCCAGTTAGCACTAATGACTTGCTAAAAGAATGCAAATGAACAGCTGTCTGCAAGGAATATAAATCCTTTCATCCCCCACCATCCAGTCAGAGCTGAAGAAGCTTCTTGGATGAGAAGCAGCTAAACGAAGTTCAGTTGCCTAAATTTTTTGTTTTGAAGTATAATTTAATGTAAGTTTTAAACCCTTCACATATTTTCCCATTGTTCAACCATTCTATTCAAAAAAATTTATCCATCGGATTATACAGTGGTTTACATACTCATTCTTCAATTTCAGTAGCAGTTTATAAACCTTGGTAATATGTTCATTACCACATAAAGAGTTTCCAAATCATTTTTTGCAAAGTCAAATCCATATATTTTTCCTCTAGTTTAAAACTACCTTTCAACTGTAAATACGTAAACCAGTGACAGACACATAACTTCTGATTCCAACTCTTCTTTAGATTTGGGGGTAGGTTCGCCTTGATTAAAAATTTATTTAACCATAGGTCCACCAGTCTGACCTCACTGTCCTTTCTTTTCTAAAGATAAGCTTTCTGGCGTGACACCCAGAGAGGTATCTTTGCAGAGAACCTTCTATTCCAAACACTTAGGATGGCACATCTAACAAAGTGGTTATTGAAATCATTTATTTTAATCTTGTCATGTCATAAGCAGGCATGCCATCCAAATCTTAATTTGTGGCCCTCCAAAACGAATAACCTTTTTATTTTGGAGTCACTCATTCTTTTAGCTAGGCCAAACTGCAAGCATCAAAGTACAATTTCAAATCTAGTAAACTCAAACCCCTTTAGTATCTTGCAATAATTTATATCTATTTTGGGGTTTTTTTTCCCTTGTCATATAAACTTAGAAATATCCATTTGCCACCCTTTCAAGTAGTTTGATGCCATGTGACCTGATATCCTATTGTTTAATGCAGCACATCTTGATGGGTCACCTTTGCATCTAACTACAGTAGTAGCTAATTTCCTGACTAGAATCAGCTGGGTGGGACAGGTTGTCTGCAACTGACTTAGATCAGTAACTTAACTCTAGTATGGGTCAAGCAGTCCTTTGGCACCACCCGTTTCCCATGCCTAATAGGATTCTACTTGGCACTACTGGCTCAGGAATTCTGGGAGTTGAAGTCCACGAGTCATAAAAGAGCCAAGGTTGCCTACCCCTGTTCTAGGCTCTTTGCATCTCTTTTGTGCTATCTTACAGCCAAATGAACATGAATGGAAAAGGCTTTGCAAGATGCCAAGTAATCGCTATGGGAGAGCTGTTCAGCTAGATAACCACCGTAAAGACAGGTGACAGATGCTGTGTTTTTTTACATCATGTTATCTGTTGCACATTGCCTGGTCTGGGGCATAAGAACATCAACTACAGTACAACTTGTTAGTGAGGATGTCAAAGTAGTGATGTAAGCGGGTGGGTATTGCTGGTAGTTGCCATTGAAGCAGAATGTGGGATAAAACAGGAAAAGGGAATTATTCTGTGCAAATGTTGCTGAAGTATTTGACATACTGGTCCACGATGCTGGGGTTCTGGGAACTGCAGCTCTGATTTTAAACTCTCATCTCTAGCCCTGGAATAATGATTCAGATCAGCTAGCTGACCTTGGCTGAGCTAGAAAGCCAAGTGGGATTAATACTGATTAATCTGATTAATCTTTGGATAAAAGATTTCAGAATTGTAGGTTAAAAGGTGGCCTGAAAAAGATGACAATAAACCATTACTGCATTCTGTTGAGAAAACTATATCAATATGTCTGTGAACTTAACCAGGAGAGGAACTCAAAGGAGACTTGATCTATAAGTGAGCCATTAAGAATAACCGCTGTAACACCGCTGTAACACCGCTGTAACACCGCTGTAACACCGCTGCTGCGCGAGCTGCACTGGCTGCCAGTGGCCTTCCGGGTACGCTTTAAGGTGCTAGTCACCACCTTTAAAGCGCTCCATGGCATCGGTCCTGGCTATCTCCGAGACCGCCTCCTGCCGCAGATTCCCTCCCACAGGCCGGTACGCTCCCACAGAGCGGGCCTCCTCAGGGTGCCGTCGGCCAAGCAA